ATCTCAAGACAGACGCCAAAGAGTTGGCCGAACTCGCTGCCACAATCTTCAGCATTGTGGTCAATCAAGCTGGCGTTGAGCGCGTTTTTTCATTCATCGAGGAGCATACAAAGGACCATCGCAACTGGCTTGGCCTCCCGAAAATGGAGAAGGCTTTAAAGGTAGGTCCTTCATCCAGTTTCATTGTGCTCTCCTCACTCTCTTGTCAGATTAATGCAAAAATTGGTTCTGAGCATCGCAAAGCGGGCTTGATCAAGACTCGTCGAGTTCGACACAATCACAAGGCCGCCAGCACTTTACTTGACGTTCTGCGGTACGCAAACCTTCTCCAGGACCAGGCTGATGAAGACCCAAGCGAGCGCAGGCGGGCTCTTGTGCAGTCGGTGGAGGCGCAGGAAGCCGAGGCTGAGGAGGACGAGGAAAACAACAAGGAAGATGTCCCCATTGTTCCCAACCCACCATGTCTCAACCAGCTTCGCGCCCCTTGCAAGTGGCAGCCCATTTCTCTTGAGCACCTGTTTGCGAAGACAGCCAAGGAGTCCCTCCGTGCTAAGCATGGTGAGCAAATGGCATGGCATGGCATGTGCAGGAAGAGGAGCAGATGTATATGCAGGTTATGGCCGAGTTGGATGCGGCGGACAACACCCCCAATGATGGCAAGGTTGAGATCGATGATTCGGAGGTGAACGGAGAGTAATTGCGACAGTTTTTGGCATTCTAAGCTTCCGAGAATGTATTTCCTTTTTGGGAACTAAGGCCTTCGGCAAGGCCTTATCTTAAGGCCTGAACCTTAAGTTAAGCCTTAGCTTGCCAGCAAGCCGATTTTTAAGGCCTTAAGGCAAACACTGTCGAGAGTTGCTTCCTGAAGGCTCTGACCATCCTGATCCATTGGCGCGTTTTCGATTGGGCAGAAGCAAGAGGTATAATCCCTCTGGCTCAAAACGGATTTAGGCCGGGTTATTGAACTAACAATAACCCGTTCATTCTCTGTTGTCTCAAGGAGTGGGCAAGAGCTAATGGCCACACCCTCTACGTTGCCTGTGTCGACTTCACTAATGCCTTCCCCTCAATGGATCAACCTACACTTTGGTTGAAGTTATTCTGACTGGGAATGTGGGGAAAAATCTTCGACTGGCTGCACATGTTGTATGACCAAATGGCTTACATGTCAAACATGGAGACATGGAATTGGCACAGTTCAAGGCTCTCATTGGCCTCCTTACAGGAGACCCTGCTTCACCAATCCTGTGGAATATTTTCCCCTCTGACTTGATATTAATGCCTGACTTTGAAAACATGTTCCTGGCCAGAGTTCGGATCTCTCTGCTCACTCAGGCTGATGACCTACTCATTGTCTCTCTCTCTGCCCGTGGTCTCCAAGTGAAATTATCCACTTTGGAACGTTGGTGCGCCGTGAACTTCCATGCTTCACTGCTGCTCATGCAGAGTGTCAAAAGGACAAAGGACCAACTCAAATAACTTCCTGTATGCGGCACTACCTAACTTTGGTGAAGACTCAGAAGCACCGTGAGGCTATAACCTACATTCTGCTCTCTACTCACCTGTTAGCCATGGAAGTCTTGTGTTACATCGATCATGTGTATCAACCCGTGCCCAGATCGGATCAGCTCTGTAGGTTCTGTAAATGGAGGTAGAGACGCCTGAACACGCACTAGTCACCTGTGAGTCCTCAGACTCACTGGTTGATCTTTGCACAATGTTCCTTGGCAAACTCTTCTCTGACTTGCCGTTCTTAAGAGACTGGATGGCAGAACTCTCTAATACGGAGTTCCTAAAAGCCATTATCTATCCACAATTGATGATTGGACTAGTTGCCAAATATGCATTTGAAGTCCTGGAGATTTTTTACGTGGTTCCTGTGTTTCCTCTAGGTGCTTGAGAGGCTAACCCGTTGATGTGCTGTTTTTTTCGCTTTTTTGTGTTCATTTAGTTCTACCACAGTGAGTCTGACTGCATCCGTGAGCTCAGGTAGAGGGACATGGGATGGAGCATTTGATGTATGAAGTTAACTTGAACTTTCATTAAGTGCTTGATGTGCACGTCTTCACTGTCCAGAGCAATTTTGCATCTGTGGATCAGGTGGCAGTCGACATGTGCCATATAAAGCTGCTTCAGTTCTCTTGGCGTTAGCCTTCCCGTCATGTCTTCAATTCCCATAATCCGATGTCCACAATAGCATGCACTGCATGCCTTTGCTTCACAGTGATCTTCGAAAATATTCTGGGTGTCCGTTCTGATATTGATTCCTACATATTTCTCATCTGTCTTGATGGAAAGCGATGTAGTGCCAAGATGGAATGTGGGAGGCAGTGAGAGCATAGGTCCAAAGATCAAGATGATTGTTTTGATCAAATTGAGGAGGAGGTTCACAACGGCTGTGCAACAGCTAGAGCTTTTCTGATGAGTCTATTTCACCTTGTAACCATTCCAACATAAGTTTCTGCACAAGTTTGGCGTAATCCGTGACATCTACAACAGAGGTAGCTCGTGTCAGAACCAGCACAGGGCAGTGGAATGGCATTCTCAATGCAGCTTTGATGAGATCTTCAGCTCACGATTTTTTCCCTTTTCCAGAGAGTTCAATAGAACTATTCAGCGCAGCGTGGGCATATGTATTGTCGTTGAGACCAAGGAAATACACCAAGTGGCTGAGATCGAGGAGGCGTCGGACTCGAAGAGGCATTATCCCAGTTTCAGTGAACAGAACAAGGGAGCCACCATGGAGCAGCGGTGGAGATTGATCATTTGACGTATGAAGCTAACTTGAACTTTCATTTAAGTGCTTGATGTGCACGTCTTCACTGTCTGGAGCAATTTCGCATCCGTGGATCAGGTGGCAGTCGACGCGTGCCATATAAAGCTGCTTCAGTTCTCTTGGCGTTAGCCTTCCCATCATGTCTTCAATGCCCATAATCTGATGTCCACAATAGCGTGGTGCGTGCCTTTGCTTTGTAGTGATCTTCTAAAATATTCTGGGTGTCCGTTCTGATGTTGATTCCTACATATTCTCATCTGTCTTGATGGAGAGCTGTGTAGTGCCAAGATGGAATGTGGGAGGCGGCGAGAGCATAGGTCCAAAGATCAAGATGATTGTTTGATCAAATTGACGAGGACGAAGTTCACGGCGCATCAATGTTCCAAAGTGGATAATTTCACACGGAGACCACGGGCAGGGAGAGAGACGATGAGCAGGTCATCAGCCTGAGCGAGCAGAGAGATCCGAACACAATGAAGCCGTACTTCTTTTCGCCATTTTGATCCCGGTAGTCGGCGCGTTTATCATCTCTGTCAATATTTGAAGTACGTACGGCAAGAGCTGTAGCGACGAAATATAATCGCAGATATTGGGCGACACGATCGTTTCCGCATGTCGGATCGGCATGTATCGCGGGGCTGAATCAGTCACTTCAAAAAAAAAAGAGAAGAAATACTGGTTCTTGGGCGGGTCCCGAATCAACCGGCAGACCTGTGCAATAACGATCGAACCTTCTTGTCCGTGTCCTCTCTCCCGAACCTTTTCAACCGCCGCACGGGTAATTTCCCCCACTTCATAAGCTAATGCGCCTCGATCCTACACCGTAACAGGCGTCCCAATCCACCCATTCTTCGCCGCCTGCTCCACAACAGTGAACCACGCATCCGCCATCTTCACATACCCAGCATCCGTCGGGTGTATCCCATCGATCAAATCCGACGCCAAGATGGCCGCCATGCTCGCGAGCAGGATGTGCTTCCCCGCCGCCGCCCGCGCGCTGATCATCGTCGTCAGCACCGCGTTGAAGGCGTCCACGCCCGCCTGGCCGGTCGTGAGCGGGGTCAGCGTCGCGACGATGAGCGCGGTGTCCGGGCACGCAACGAAGATCGCGTCCATGAGGCTCGAGATTGCCGCCGGCGCCGTCGCGTTGAGGCCATCGATCACGTCGTTTGTTCCTGCCATGAGCAGCACGACCTAACCAATTTAAAAAAAAGAAAGATATGGGAACAGGGGCGGGACGAGACGCACGTTGGGACGCGCCGGCAGCGCCGCGGCGTTCGTGGCGAACCCGGCGATCTGCTCGATGATCGCACCGATATGACCCTCATTGTTGTTGTCCACCATTGTCCCCGACTCGATAGACCCAATAAAATCGACCGTGTTCCCAGGCTGCAGGAGGTTGTGCAGCGTCGCGCGGTAGCCGTTGCCATCGCTACTCGTGAATCCATACGTGATGGAGTCACCGAGGGGAAGAAGGCGGATATTGAGGCCCGTCGTTGATGTGGATGTCGAGGATGGGCGGAGGTCGTTCCGGTGGTCTTGGTGGTCGTCGTGCTCTTGGATGTTATGCTCGTGGATGTGATGGTCGTAGACGGAGGAACACCTGTGCCGGGGACACACTGGATGGCACACGAATTGAATTCAGCACTACAAATGCCATTGGAGAGGCAATCACGAACCTGCGAATAAAACGGATTCTGGACGATACAAACCGTACCCGCTACACAAGTTGTAGCTGCCGGAGGGAGTAGTGAACACTTTGCCTCATGGACCGCTCAATCGACCCACCGCCAGTCCAACCCTCGCCGCCACCTTCGAACAGAGAAACGATCAAAACATCATTCGGCATCCAGCGTATGGCCCAACGTACATTGTCCAAATTCATGACTTTGAGCCAACGCTAGCCGCGCCGAAACGCACAGGGCAATGAGAACACCGAACAGCATTTTCAGTGCGTCTGCCGACCTGCGTCAGTGCTATATATCTGCGGAAGCGCCGGGCCGCGGAACTGTGCTCGCCTGAATGTCGGGGATTTGCGCGGAGCATGGGGGACTGAGCCAGACGCATCTGACGGCCCTTCAACAGAAGATGCCACTTTAGCGGGGGCCGCGATCTGTCGGTGGGTGCGCTTGTACCATTCCTGGAGGGTTGAAGCCTCCCATACAAGTCATGAGTCCTACAGGCGAGGGTGGTGGAAAGCCCCCAAAAAAGAATAGCAAGCTTATGACTCGGGCCCGAGTCGAACGGGCGACTTCTGCAGAGCTTAGCGTCAATCGCACCCCCATGTACGTTGAGCAGATGCGATGCGTTTCACCACCGAGTCTTTCTCTGGGTGTATCCAGCACGAGTACCCCTGCATTATACGAGCGCCGAAGGGAAGAGGAAAGTGAAGAGAGTCGGGCAGGACTTTGGATGAGCTTGGGTTGGACGACGCAGAAGAGGAGCCCCGCACAACATTAGAGGCAGACACGATACGCTTCGCCCTCGAGTCGTTCTAGTAGGCTGTGTCTCCCCGAGTCAGTCGTTTAGCAGTCAGTGTCTGCGACTGTGCCACCAGCAAGGTTTGAGGGAAGATATGGGGAGGCGGTTAAGTTGGCTGAGTCGTTGTCTAGCAGGATACGCATGAAGCTGTGCAGCGAGGGCCAGTTGAAGCTGATTGAAGACCGAGAAGGTGATCAACAACATCAGCAAATCCGTAGATATCTGGTATGACCTGATGTGACATACCTTGCCTGATCTGGTTGGGAAGGCCTTCCAAGCCGAAGCCAGGCATGTTGTCTGCATTGTATAGCCCTTACCTAGCCAGATATATCCATTACAAGGCAACACAAGGTTGATATTATACTGCATACCGCTGGCTTGCAACACGTACTGTTGCTGGCTGTGCAGACTGTATATATGCCCAACTCAGATTTCCTTTGAGTGCTGTTCAAACTTGGGTTCATGCTCAATAATTTTGGTCTAAATCAAAACATATACTACATAGTGAACCACCTTGAAAAAAAAGTAGTCCAACGGGCAGCTTATATAGCTCAACTACAGTCGTTAAGATGTACTACCCATCTCCTGCAGTAAGGAGCAGGGGGACCATACCTTGACTCGGGATTTGTCATTAACAAGTGATGGTTCTTGAATTAGTTGAGCGGTGGGTCCTCGAGTCAGGGAGAACCTTCGGGACGTTGTTCGATGACAGTGAGTCGGCGACGAGAAGATTCAGTCCATTTTAAACTCCGACGGTCCGTGCGCAATCGCGTGATTGTTTGGGTCACCAAACAATTGGCTGTTGGTTCATCTTTCCTTCCCCATCTCCCTGCGTGTCCGTCATTCGCCCTCCAAGCAACACATCGTTTCAATGAGCGAGTGTCATCCTCAAGCATCCCAGGACTGAATCTCATGCTCTCTCTGTGGTTGTGTGTCCTGCCAGGCTCTGGAATCCCCAAGCGTTATGAAGCACTTCGTGTCCGGGTCCTTCAAATGCATCGTCAGAAGCCTCTGGGGTCATCTACAGCCTCCCAGCAACTGCAATCCCTCTGTGTAACTGTAACTGTCTGGCTTCTGGGATACCATATGTATTTGCAACGTCTTTGTCAAGCTGCGCTGCGTCCCGTTTCCGCCTCATGTGGCCAACCTTTCCCATCTTTTTATTCTCTGTGCTGCGTCACAATTGGCCGTCTGTGGCCGTCTTCCTTTTCTTATCTCCGTAGTCCCGCGATGCACCGCATGTGGCTACTACACACACCGGCAACTCTGCTGTCCCCTCTAATCTAAACGAGTATGTATACCATATCTTCCGAGTCACCCTGCGATCTGATGAGTCGCGTAGACACCTAGCTGCGACCCCCGCCGCCGCGTGCGCCGCATCCGAGTTGCGCCCCATCGAGCTCGCGTCGATTACGCCGACCCCCCGCACCAGTACCCACGAGCGCTCCCATATTGTGTCACCCTCTTCGTGCTCCTCGTTGCGCTCCGGCCCCTGCGTGTGCTCGTTGCGTGGCTCGTCCACCGCACGAGCACGCTCATGCGCGTGCAGGGACGATGTGCACGGAGGCATGTGTGTATGCGAGCGGTACTTACCGTTGTCGTGTTTATGTCGAATGCAATATTTTTGGTGGATTTTTCATGTGTGCAATGGGATTTGGTGTATTCGTAGAAACCTGCCACGTAATGCAATGCCTTGAGATGGCCTTGCATGGCCCGCAATGCCTTCCCAACGTCATCTGGCTTATATGTTTCACGTGGCCAGGTGTCCCTTGCAAGTCGATGTGGATCTTTGGGAAGCCAATGTGAAAAATTCACAAGGCTTCCATGACTTGTGAGACTTGTGTGCCTTGCAATGCCATATATGGTTTGGCAAACATTTTCCGCTTTTCGTGATGAAGTGATCAACGTCGTCACCGTGACGCTAGGACAAAGCCAGGACGGCACGCCGGCCCGGGAGGCACGTGCCTCACCGCTCTCTCCCGCCCTCCTCCGTCCTGTTCCGACTTTTGCGTTTGCCCGTCCAGAACATACGGCAGCTTGTATATAAGGAGCCTCCAGTCCACCAAATCCAGATTATACCACCCATCGCACCGGGCAAATCGGCCAAATGCATGATCCATTGACAAATCGCATCCTCGCACGAACATCCCCACCAGCCTCCCTCGTGTGGCACCACGACCTCAAATTCCTCCTGACCGGCGACGCAACCCCGGCAACTCGTCGCTACTCATGCACCTCGATTTCTCGCCAGTCTGGATCCCACGGCAAGTCTCTTTCGTCCGTCCTCTATTGCGCTGCTTCAAGTTCTACTTTCCCTTCTACCCTGGTGGCTTCGACGTGTTGTCCTTCCTTGGATTTCTATCTTCATGTTTCTCTGTTTCTCCTGAGGATTAATGACCCTACACTAACCCACCACCGTAGCTTGGCTCCAAGCCCATCATGCTGCCAGGCCCGGACGCGATCGTGCTGCACCTTCAGTGTCGGGACACGGCGGGTACGGCGAGCCTGCAGGCTACGGTCATCTAATCAGACGGGTGAGTGTGTTTCTGTGTCCTCGTTTCGTCTCGCGGCTGTCATCTTCCCTTACCTGCCCTTGCGTGCTTCCCCCGCACGCTCTTCTTGCCACCGCTCCCATCCTGCGCATTCCCGTCTTCCTTGCTTACGCGCTATGTCGTTCACGCTCTCTCACCGCAGGAATTGTAAATTAGGATTTCGGAAAGAGACACAGTACGTAGAAGATATCAATTTAAAGAGAGTCTGTGATGAACTATGGACATCCATTGAGCCAAGCGTTCACCGCGCTCGACAGGTAGTTGACATCCAGATACTCGGCTCGTCCGTCGCCATTGAGGTCTGCAAATTGGACACCCGCACCGGAAGTGCCGACTCCAGTTGCGATGACGCCTTGGGGATGCCAAACAACCTTGGCAGCCTAGCGTGGAAGAATAAGACGCAATGTTTCGGAAAATTCAAGAACTACCAACATTTGGACCGTCGTCGGGGCCGCCGCCATTGATCCAGAGTTCAACAACACCACCGGTGTGGGTGACGGCTGAGTAACAGTGTAAGTACAGAGTGCACGAAAAATGCGAAACCAACGCACTCAGGTAGTCCGCTCTCCCATCGCCTATGCACAAAATTAATTACTCGGGATTCATGACAGGCGAAGAGGTAGTGCGCACCATTAACGTCGGCAAGAATCACATTATCTCTCGTGGCCCCATTTGCTGGTCCGGTTGCAACTACGCCCTGTGGCAGCCACCCAACATTGGCAGCCTGCAGAAAATTTGAGCAGGCGGACAACGGCGCGGAAAGAAGATACGTACGCCCGTTCCACCCTGCGAGGAGCCAAGATTCAGATAGGCTTACAATCCGGTTAACAAGGTTTCAACGTCGAGTAAAATTGGGCAAACCTGTCATGGCCCCGTTCTCGTCAAGCCAGAGATATTCTGCGCGGCCATCACCATTCAGATCTGCAAACCGTACACCTGAAGAGGAAAAGAAGGAGATCAATCTTTGCTCAGGGCCGCGTGTTGACTTGAAATACCCGCTCCATCCTCGCCTATCCCCGTCGCGATTGATCCTGCAGGAAACCAGGTAACTTTGGCGGCCTGAAAGATATCAAAACGACATTCGCACGGAATGAATGCAGGGGCGTACATCGGGACCATCGTCAGGTCCACCTAGATTCAACCACGCATCGACAGAGCCATCATCGTGGACCCAGAGATATTCGGCCCGTCCATCGCCATTCAAATCTATGTGCGTTCATTCAAGGCGAGCGGGAAAAGGACAGCGTTACCTGCAAATTGAACCTGATGACGAGCTGCGCCGACTCCGGTAGCGATAACCCCAGAGGGAAGCCATTGAATCTGACCCGCATCGATTCCTGTTTGTTTATGTGAGCTGCATGGTCTGGATAAATCCCAGGAAATGGAGGAGTTACCTGTTGCCGAAGAACCGAGATTCAAGAAGGCTGTTGTAGCTCCCTTGGTGTCAAGCCAAAGATACTCGGCACGTCCATCACCGTTCAGATCTTCCGGAGGTTAGATGATGTCTTTATCGAGTGAGACAAAGAACACACCTGCGAAGCGGACGGCAGTACTATTATCATTCAAATCCGAGCACTGTCCGCTCGCGGGTACGGGGAATACCTCTTCAGGCACGTTTGGCTCCGTGAACGCACAAGAACACTCTCCTGGAGCTTCGGGACTAATTTGAGGTTCAATATTTTGAAGTTGCGAACGTAATTCAACTACGTACACCAGGGAACAGTCATAGAGACCGCCATTTGTGCCCAGGCCTGCGCCATTGGCGATTGATCCTTGGGGGTACCAAACTACTCAACGGGTTCAATACGTGGGCAGTGGTTAGAAAGGCGGGGATGAACGAACCCGGATTACTCGAACAATATTCCTTCCCATTACCGCCTGGCAAGTCCCCAGTAGCAGGATCGATCCACCCCCATTCAGCCGCTTGCCACAATGCACTAAACCACGCGTCGGCCATTTTAGCGTATCCTTGATCACTGGAATTGCGCCGGGACGTGAATATGATCGGTGAAATGCAGATACGGGCGTTACTTACTTTGGATGAAGGGAATCAGCCATATCCTCCGGACCCAAACTCTCCATAGGAACCGGCATAACTCTGGCACCATCCGAGGCTCTCCTGAGCAGCAGCTGAATGATTTCATAATTAAACGTGTCGGCCAACGCTTCCTTCGTCGGATCGCCATTCAAGGGGATTGTTCCAACGAGCAATGCAGTGTTCGGTAAGGTGCTGGTAATCTCGTCAACGATGGCCATGAGGCGGTCTGGTGCGTCGGCAACATCGTCACCG